TTTTCTCCTGGTATATTTCTAAATTTTTGGTCTAATTTTAAGGTACAATGCTATTCATTCTAGTCATCACAGGTCTTTGGACTTCCATTCAAGCAGCTCTTACTGAATTCAGCGGTTTTCATTGTATGATGCGTCATTCAATGCGGATGAATCGTATTGTACATGGTAAACCGCAGGAAACAATGCCACCTTTTGAATTTCGCTTTTTGGATGCTAAAGGATATGAAACACGATATTATGAACCAGGAAAGATTTATACCAGTAAGTATATAGAAATTTTGCTATTTATTAAATACATTTAATTCAAAGATCAAAAGTTAATTGCATTTAGTTCAAAGATCAAAAGTCAATTGCATTTAGTTCAAAGATCAAAAGTCAATTGCATTTAGTTCAAAGATCAAAAATTAGTTGCATTTAATTTAAAGGTCAAAAAAAAAAGGAAACAGTCGTATTTTAGTTCAAAGATCAAACGTATTAATTTGTAAAATAAATGCAATATCTCGTGGAATTAATCAAAAAAAAAATTATTATTTCTATATATTGTAGTTCGTCTAATTGGCTTTGTGCATTTTCGTGGTCTATTATTGCAAGGACGATTAGCGAATGAAAATGGATTCTTAATTGGTTCATTGAAAGGTGGTCGTTTCATTGAAAATGAAAATTGGCAAACATTTGGAATTCGAATTCAGGATTGTGATCCACATGGTCCAAGTTGGCAAGATTCAATAACACATACTGATGATTCGCAAAAATTTATCGTACAATTAGAATGGACTACTGATAAAGATATTGGCGCTGTACAATTCATGTAAATTTTTTTTTTTGCATTCCTTTTTTTCTTTTTTTTTTTTTTGCAACCATAACAAGATACAAATAAAGATTCTAAAGATTCTAAATTTAAAGTTTTTTTTTTTCTTAATTAAGTTTGTATTCGTAAGAAATATACCGATTAGATAATTAATTTATTGATAATAGCAAATATTACGGTACTATTTGAATGTGCGCAAATGAATAAGATAAATATTTAAAATGAGAATTTTTCTAATGAATAAGAAGAATATTTAAAAAATTAATTTTAGTTAGGATCATTTTTAATAATAGTTCATGTGACAAGAATTACAAATAACCTTTCAAACTTTGCATTTCGTATAGAAATTTAACAACTTGCATTCTATTCATTTTTTAAATTTGAAAAAAATATGTGTAATTTAAAATTGACCTGAATTAAGTATTTTAACAGGATAAAATTATGAAAAGCATGATTTTACCTGATTTTTAATTTAAATTTTCATTTCAAAAATATCATGAAAAAAAAAAAAAGAAATACTGCTAGGTTAACAATTGCTGAAGAAGATGAAATTTATTGGGAGAGATGGCGACCAGAAAATGGCTTTATTATTCCTATCACTTGGAAAGAAAAACATCTTAATCATATCAATGATGAAAGAGGAGTAGCTGTAAAACTTTCTGGTTTCTTTTTATGCATTCAATTTCCAATTAAATTTGATAATTTTATTTTAAATTTTAATTTTTCTCTTTTTATGCATTCAATTTCCAATTAAATTTAATAATTTTATTTTAAATTTTAATCGTTTTTTTTTGGCTCAAATTAAGTAAAATTATTAATCTTTTCATCTTTTTTTTCATAAATAATATTAATTAATTGCTAATTTTCTTTTACAAATTTTATTGCTAATTTTTTTTTTATAGCTAAAAAACAAAAACATACTGAACAATTGTCGAGTAATCTTTACAAACGACTTGTTTCAACTGCGGAAAATATTGAAAATTTCACAGCTATTGATAGGAAATCCAATGCTACTCAATATACGATCCATGAAAAGCATACGTTACAAAGGTGAAAACTGCCTGGGATGAGTGATATAAAGAGAAAGTGTTAATTTTTATTTTTTTTTATCAAAATTAAAATTTATTATTTCTTAATTTTTTTTTTTTTTTGAAAATAACATTACTATCCTAAAATTATGAAAAAAATTTTCTGGAACATTTCAAATTTCCAAATTTCTTCATCCTTTTTCTAATTTCAAATCTTACTTTGAAATTTTGATTGAAATTTAGTATTTTTTTTTGTTTTTTTTTAAGACCCGTTCCGGAAACATTACGAGATTTGGCTTATCGTCATGAAAATGAAGTTGAGGAAGAAGTAAACGAGAAACAATCATCAACTACTATACCATTTACTGCTCCATTATTAGAATTTGAAAGTTCCACAACAACAGGATTATCATTAATCCATACCACTGCATCATGGCAATTACAAACCGGAAAATTGAATGAAATTGAACATGTTTATGAAGGTCGTTTCCCAAAAATTCTTATGGGAAATTTGAATAATAACGAATTAACCAAAACAAAATTGAAGATGACATCAGTGATACGATCAGGTAAATTTACATTTCCATTTATTTGATCGTTTTTTTTTTTAGATTAATGAATGAAGTATGTATGATATTTGGAAATTTATGTAGATATTGCTTAATTTTTTTTTTTTTGTTAAGGATAAGTATTAATTTGAAAAATTTCTTAGATAAATGCATCGAAAATCCATGCGAAAATGGTGGACGATGTCGTTTGGACAATAGCGCCAAATTAGGCTTTGCATGTTTCTGCAAAGAAGGATGGATTGGACCATTATGTCAAAGTATGAATTTATCCAATTCATTTCATTTATTTAATAGTCAATTCAAATATTTTACAATGAAAAAGATCAAATCATTTGAGCAAATTTGAAAAAAAAAAACTTTTTAACTTCTTTTACATTAACTTTAGCAAAAGATTACTGTATCGGGCATAGTTGCGTATCAGGAAAATGTGTCAACTTGAAGGATTCATATCAATGCATTTGTTGGACAGATTATGCTGGTAAATTCTGTACACGTGCGTTTTTGTAATTTCATAATATTTATTTAATTTATTTTGATATTAATTTAAATTTCAAAGATTTACTCATTTAAAATGTAATATTATCAAGACAACAAATGAATTAATTATTCAGTTATTAGTAGGAATTTCATCCGGAAAAAAAAATGAGAAGGAATACCGGACTTATATGCAGATTTTTTTTTTTTTTCTATGTATGAGCATTTATTTAAGCAATAAAAATTGTCATCTTCATTCAGAAACATAGAATGTTTGAAATTTAGAAAAAAAAAAAGAAAAGAAACGATTTTGAAGTTGACAAGTTTAAATTGCTGAATCAATAATATTACATCATTTCGGATTTCGGAAATATTTTCTTGATTTCCGGAATATTTTCTTGATTTCTCGTTTTTACAGCTGCTCTTTTTTTTTTTTGTTGCAATCAAGTTTATTCAGACATAGCATAAGCTTATCACACTTAACAAGATGATAGAATTTTCTTTAATAAGTCATTGAAGTTTGAAAAAAAAAAATTTTTACGACTATGCTATATTGTAAGGTTGAAAAAATGTTCAATTCTTCATTCATGATTTTCCGGGAAAAAAAAATGTGACAATTTTTTGTTTCAAATGAAAATGACTGAAATTAATACATTTTCAAATTATCATAACATTTTTTTAAATAATTTTAGAAAATAATTTGCATAATTTTTCCATTATCATTTTCTCATCTGTGCGCATTTGTCATACAAAAAATACGACAGAACAATTTTCATACTAAAAAAAATGACATTTTTTTTTTCATTAAAATTGATAAATTTCAATTATTTCAAATAATCTATGTGAAAAAGGCCGTGAGCAACAATTGCAGGAAAATGTGATCCTAATTTATGCCGAAGAAATGGTACATGTGTAGAAAAAAGTAACGGTGAATTAGGTTGTAAATGTCCACCAGGTGCTTCTGGTAGATACTGTGAACGTGGTAATTTTATTATTTTAAAAAAAAAAAATTAATCTCATACAAAATTTTCAAATATATATTCATATAATTTAATTATACTAATCTGTATTCGATAGAATTTTTTGATTACTTCTATTGATGAAATAAAATGAATTTGTCACCTGTACCTGTACCTCATTTAGTTTAAGTATAAGAAATGATTCATTTCAGCAACTGATGATAGACAGTTCAAATTGATGAGGCGCAAATTTCAGCGTTATCTTATTTCGTTTAAGTAAAAAGGGATGACTCAAATTGATGAATAAGCCGCAATCTAATAATATAACTTTATTATAATCTATTTTAAAAATTGAAATTTGTTTAAGTTAATTGCAGAAATAAATGAATGCAATTTTCGACGTTGTAAAAATGATGCAAAATGTATTGATAAATGGAATGATTATTCATGTATTTGTCGGCCAGGATGGATGGGAAAAGATTGTGATCGTTGGTTTTAATAAAAATTTTATTTAGGCGCATTTGTCTTATCATATTCTCGATCGATAAGGATGAATATTGCAATAGTAATCAAATAAATTTTGTTGAAGCGCATTTGTCTTATCATATTTATCTATATGGATAAGTATTGCAATAATAATCAAATAAATTTTATTGAAGCGCATTTGTCTTATCATATTTAACTATAATAATAAGTAATGCAATAGTAATTAAATGAATTTTATTGAAGCGCATTTGATAAGACTATCATATTTAGATAAGACTATCATGATAAGACTATCATATTTAACTATAATGATAAATATTGCAATAGTAATTAAATAAATTTTATTTAAGCGCATTTGTCTTATCATATTTATCTATATGGATAAGTATTGCAATAGTAATCAAATCATAAATCTTGTTTTTTTTCCTTTTTCTTTCCTTTATTGATAATGACTAATTAAGGGCCTTGTCAAGATATTTATGGTAGTTGCAATCAATGGAAACAACAAGGTCAATGTGAACAAATGCGCGCTCATACACGATTTTTTGATGTCAATTGCGCGGTATCCTGCGGGCAATGCACTTATTCAAATGATACTGGTCTATTTTCAAATAACAATTCATTTGTATATTATATATATTAGCAATTAGTCAATTGCGCTAATTCTTTTTCTAAAAAATTGTAAAAATATAATTTTAATAAAATAATTTTTTTGAAATAATTTTTTTTGTATAATTTTGAAAAAAAAAAGATAAGATAAGAAGTGATACAATCAAAATGTATTATTATTTGTTTTTTTTTCTTTTTTGTATAATTTTTTTTTGTATAATTTTGAAAAAAGAAAAAGCAAGAAGAAATGATGCAATCAAAATATATTTATTATTTGTAATTTAAATATTTATGCAATAAATTCAATGAATTAATTTCTTTAATTATTTAAATTTTATTTGCTAATTCTTTTATTTTATCCAAAAATTAAATTTCAGTAAAAACAACAAAACCACTTGCACCAATTTTACTTCCACTAGCTTGGATGATAGGTATATGGAAAGCTGAAGTAAATGGTAAGTGATTAGGTTAAAATGTCGAGACTTAAATTGATCATTATAATATTGGCGCTATTGTCATCATAATTTCAAATTGTACAAATAAATGATTATTTTAGAAATAATAGCTGAATGTAGTAGCTAATTAATTTGTTCATTTATTTAGGTACACGTTCACGTACTGTAGATTATGTGACAGATTTCGAAGGAATATCCTATACGGAAATTCTTGCAATTACAGTTGCTGATGTATTAGTATTTGGCAAGCCGAGTATCAATTTCACGTATGTTGACATAAGAATAATCATCTACGTCTAACGTTCCACGTAACCTTCCTGGTAGTTTTAGTCAGTCTCTAATCACATTCAATTTACATTTCAGGTAACTTTCCCTTGTAGCTTAGTGTCTAATCACATTCAACTTGTGTTTCAGGTAACATTCCCTGGTAGTTTAGTTTAATTTCATTTAACTACACAAATTTAGGTATATTAGTAAGGTATGCGACAAATTTCAATCAAAAATGATATAAACTCTTTAAACAAGAATCATTTACTACTTTTCAATGCTATTCATTTATACGAATTCAATCCATGCATTAAACGGTAATTTCATATTTTATGATATTTTCAATTCAAATCGATCAATTTCATCAAATAATCATTGATTTAAATTATATCAATCAATTTCTTCAATTATAATTCCTTTAAATTATTCTAAAAAAATTTTTTTAATTATTTCAAAATATTCAGATCAATTGCAATAAACAAAAATGATACAACTGATCAACATATACATTATGGTTTCCTTACAGTTGGTTCAAATCCAGGTGGTAAACCTCTGGTGGCACTTATTACAACAAGTAATCTTGGTAGGAAATTTTTTTTTTTTTTCTATGATACTGATAATTAATACTTCTGTGACATATTTTTTGACATAGCTAAATTTACTAATTAAAAACTCTATTCTGATACTTTATGCATCAATGATACAACAAAATATTGCCAATATATGTGGCTGAAGTTCTATTTGCGCTTAACTATTTGCGCTTTAACATGATTAATTTTAGGTCAAATAATGATAGAAGAAGGTGAAATACATTCAAATAGTATACAATTTACACCAATGTATCGTTCGATTTTATCATATACCGCAAATAATTTACCGCTAGAGGTAATGAACTATAAAAATTTGGTAAAAAATTTGTTAGCAATTTTAAAATTATGAATAAATTTAGAAAAAATTAAAAGTAGCAAATAAATTAGGAATTTGTCATATAGCGGAAAAATTCAATCTTATTCATGTATTATGCAAAATTTTAAAAATTCTTGATGAATATAAAATTGGAAGTTATTACAATGATATTGAAATTGTTCAAAAAGGGATTATTTAATTTTGTCATTTAATTTTCTTTTTTTTTTTGTTCATTTAATTTTTAGTTACATCGAACATTCTCAAGAAATGATAAAAGATTGATACAAAGTTTAACAAAGAAAGATATGGATGGAAGAAATCGAAGTGTTAGTAAACGATATGATAAAATTATTGATATTGAATATTTGTAATTACAATTAACATCTCATCTCAATTTTTTGCAATTAAAATTCAAAATTCATCGAATTTAATTTGAAATATTTGAATATATTTCGATATATTAATGATCTTAAACCATTTATTCTATCATATGCCTATTATCATCTATGACATTTGTCATCTATAATTCAAAATTATTTCAATATCATGAATGATAATAACACTTATCAATGCATTCATTACATGTGCAGTATGCTAATCATTAATGCTTTAATATATTTTCATAATTGTTACTGTAATTAGCAAAATAACTTATTTTATCTTAAATTTTTCATTTTTATTTTTTTAATTTATTAATAGATTAGTTTGAAATGCTATCATAGCATGTAGTATTTTTTTTTTTTTAGCACAAATATAGCATATATTTGTTGACAATTGAAATTATGCTTTTTATAAGCAATTTTTAGGCGTAAAACTTTTTTAGGCTTAAATTTAGGAAGAATATGAAGCGGTAAATGTTATGTAATGATGATCAAACTATTCGATTTTTACCGCCCAAAATTACTTCTTCAGATTTCTTCAAATTGTAAGCATTAATTTCTTCAAATCGATCATTTCAAGAATTTAATAAGCAACAAAAAATACTATCATAATTTGCAAATTTTACCAACAAATTTCAACAATGGTATAGTTAATTTAATTAATTAACTAATTAGTATTGTATTAATTACTAAGAAAATTGCACCAATTATTTTGCTATCGATATATTTCAAATGAATGGAAATTGTTTTTTTCTTTTTTTTTCTCATCCATTGAACAATGTTAGCTTGCTGATTAGCAAAAATAATTGTGATATTATCTAAGATAATTGTGATATTATTAATTAATTATAATATTATCTAAGATAATTGTGATATTATTAATTAATCGTGATATTATCTGAGATAATTGTGATATTGTTAATTAATTATGATATTATCTAAGATAATTGTGATATTATTAATTAATTGTGATATTTAATTATATGTGAAAAGTAATTTATGTTAAATCTTTGATTTCATCTTTAACCTATCATTTTCAAATAGCTCATATTATTTTACTTTTTCAAAGGTCACAAAGTTACAGATCATTTGACAGGGTTGAATAACTGAACAATTTTTGTTCTCCTCATTCTGTAATCACTTTATTCTTTCCCTTCAATTAAACCTATTCATTTTCATCGTTTTCAATAGCTTCCTTTAGAAAATGCCATAGATTTGACATCAAAATGTGACATTATCACATTGGTGATAATTATGCTAATTGCATGCTTCTTATAACACGCCGAACTATATAGCACGTAATTTTTCTTTTTTCTAAAGCGATTCATTCTAAAATTGCGAAACTATCATAGCATTAGCTTATTGTAGGTTATTATAGGTTATTGTCATAGTATTGGTTTATTTCCTTATCCTTGCTTTTAGTAGTTATTATGACCTTAATAATAAACATGAATATGACTTAACCTTCTCAAGGGTCAAGTTCCTTGACCTTCTTAATAACAAATACAACAATAAGTATGCAATAGAATGAATAAAGCAATTTTATATTTCATTCTCTTTAATCATTTCTTTGAAATATGAACATAACAACCATTCTGTTTATTTTTATTTAATGAGTAAATTGTTAATGAATGTTAATCAAAGTAGCATATTACTATAGAAGTATTGATTACTTATTTGCATATTAGCAATTACCTTAAAATACGACAGAAATGATCCGATTCAGAAAAATCATGACATCTGCGCCATCTGTCATCTACAAATATTCACGTATCGTGTAATTGTCCAAATGTAATGGCTAAACATCATGTCATCAGTAATTATTTCAATGAAAAAGTTCCATAGTCGACAAATCGAAATGTAAAATTTATTATAATTTAAAAAAAAGAAAGAAACTTTTGATGATGACATTATAAAGAAATGAGAATAGATTGATGGCGGTAAAATATCACATTTTATAAACGTTCGATCTATATGATATGTACAGATGGATTAGTGATAAAATAAAAGATAAGTAGAGGTAATTTCAATTTTTGAAATTTTAAAAAGAAATGGGCCGCACAAAATTTGAAGACTTTTTTGAAATGTAAACATTTCCATTTCAGAAATTCATTAAATAGCAATTATAGCCTAACAATGATAATTGTTATTCCACTGATAACTGCCATAATGATAATAGTGATAATGTATGGATGAAACTAATAGAAATTTGATTTTGAACATAATCTGTCGATATTTCTTATCACATCATTTTGCAGTAAATTAAACTTTAAGAATGATCAAACATTTACATCGCTGGTGGCAAATTGAATACTGGACAAATATTCCTTAATCCACTGAAAATAAAATTATACATTAAAATATAAGATGGCCAAGATTAAAAAAATGAATATGGAGTAAAATTATACTAGATATGTTTTTATGGCCAAGTTACTGAAAATATTAAAAGTAATTAAAAGGTGGGAAAGAGTTCAAGAAGATATAATTAGCAAGATATTGTTATAAAAGTATCATTAAGAAATAGTACTAAAAAGAATTATTTATTAATGAAAAATTGTTGTTCTCTAGAAATTTAGCATATTAGGCTGGATAGATTGTTGATAAAGTTTGGCCTAGAAGCCAGAATTCTGGAAATATCTAGAAGAAGCCGAAATATTTAGATTCTTTACTATTGCTCTATGATAATTTTACAATATTACAAAATAGATGATGCAAAGAATTTAGAACATAAGCTCTTCTTATCCAGATTCATACATATAGTCAAGTAGTAGCCAAGTAAGGCCTTTTTGGCCTAATATACTTTACCTGACACCAGCTTTTATTGTACAGTTGCATAATTCTTTAGCAGCTCTTCGCCATCCTATATGCCTAATACATCGTCGAGCTGTACCATGCATTTGATTGACATGTATACATGGTTGACATCTACAACGATATCGTATAGTTCTTGTTTCTGGTTAATATATGATAAAGATTTGAACCGGAAATATTAACATTTTCCGACAGAATAAACCGTAATCAGGCTTCACAATAAATTAGATGGTGAAATGATAGAACTGCAATGATGTAGTTCCATCATTTTCTGATTAATGATACGAGGAATATTTGAACCGGAAAATAATAAATGAGATTGGTGAAGTGATGGAACTGTAATAATGCAGTTCTTGTTTCAAATTTAACTTACGAGAGAAGTTTGAATCGGAAACATTAACATTTTCCGGTATAACAAACCGTATCAGGTTGTAGACGATAATAAACTAACGTATATCTCTCAAAACATTCTTCAAGACCATCGCCTTCCATAAAACAATCTTTGACACATTTTCCGATTTCCAATACAACATCTAACACATTCTGGATTGATTGAAGTGTAGGATTTTGTATAATTTTATTCTTTGCTTCTTCCAATTTTTCACCTGTTAAATTAATAATTTTCCTGATATCCTGTTTCGGTATTTGTGGCCCGTATTTTGAGTCAGCACAACTGAAAATCCGGAATTGCTATCGGTTAAATATGAAATTATTGGCGTCAATGTTTAACTTAATGATATGAATAATATGATTAACTTCCATTTCTGATATCATTATTCCCTATCATTCTCATTTATTCTTTTTAGGTAAATCAAATCGTTCCATATGATAAATTAATTCCATATGAAATAAAAAGCTAATTTCTTATATCAGCCATGAAATGAAATAAGATCGCATTCCTGTTTAAATACGGAATTACAGAAATGAATTCCGTTATATGTTTTCAATTTTAGGTTGCGGTAATTCATTCCTTTGAGTTATATTTTCATATCCCTAAACAACAATAATTCTCAGTTTTTATTATAGCAGAGGATAATTATTTGTCTTAAATTAGCTAATAACTCAAAAGAAAAAAGGAAAAATCATCTTATTTCAATTTTAGTTCCAATTTCAATTAAAAAAAAATCATATTATTTCAATTTCAATTTCAATTTTCAATTTAAAAATCGCACTATTTCAATTTACCAATCTTGATAAATTTTAATTTGATTTAACAATTCAACTGAGATAGTGTAATATTAAAGGTTATTTAAAAAAAAAAAAAAATTAAAACAAACCATTTGATATTCGATTTAATGCATGTAACCAAACGATCAGCAATTGGCTTTTGCTGAACAAAACATTGTCGTAAGTCATCAGGTCTTGTTGTTATCTGAATAAAATTAATTAATTAATTCATTTATTTAATGATTAATGTTGAAAAAAAAACTCTATTCCATTTTTTAACAATTTAAATGGATTGCATGAAAAGGCTACTTTAAAAGAAATGTAATAATAATACCTGAATGATACTCTTTCTAATTATCATCTAAGGTAAGATATTTTCTCATTAGAAAATAATACTTCTTACCTTTTCAGATTCTTTGAAAATATTTTACCACAAATATTTATCAAACATAAAATTAAGATAATGTTAAAATAAAAGGTAAAATAATAAACCAATGATTACCTTAATAGCATCTTGTTTCCAACATTTATCGACACATTTTTGTAATTTTAATTCAAGTTCTTTTATGCAAATATTTTCTTCCTCACACCAGCATTCCCTAATTGTCTCATTTGTTTGTATCAATTGTGTATTTTCCTGTGAAAAAAAAAACCAAAATTTGTAATTTATTCGATGGGGAAAAAAAAAAGAAATAGAAATGAATTATTCACCCGAGTTATTCTCAAATATCTCGAATAAATAAACTCTTTGAATCTTTCTTAATCTTTGACTAATTTAAAAGTTATATTTATTTGTTCATTATTTTCTTTCAATTTATATTGATGTGATAATTTTGGAAATAAATTTTGCTTTTTTTTTTCATTTATAATCTTTCATTATTGTTTAAATTTTATAATTACTAAAAAGTTTTATCAAATAGTTGCCAAAAAATTATTTACTTATTTTTTTTTTTTTGATAAATGATTTTTCAGCAATTATAATTGTTGGTAAGATTATTTTTTGTCAAGTAATTTATAGATGAATAAATATTTTAAATTAAAGTAATTAAAAGTTAATAATACGTAAAAAAAAAGAAAAGAAAAACTTACAGCGCGTAAAAAGTTAATTCGATCAATTTGTATTAGTATACAATATAATAGGAATAAAATGGAAATATCAGAATAGAATGAGAAGAACATTCGATTTAATTCAATTTTTTATTTTTTGTTTTTTATTTTTCCTTTTTTCTTTTTGAGAACTTTCTGAGTAATGCACCTAAATACTGTAATTTTATTTTAAGCATACAATTATACGGTATTTATCGCATCAAAAAACCGCAAAAATAGAAATAACGGTATTATATTTATTGTGTTAATAACAAAAATTTCTTAAAAATAATTACATTTCACCAAGATTTCTCAGTAATTATTGGTATAACTTAAATTATTCATGTATCTATTTTCTTAATATTATCAAATATTAAATATCAATATATTATCTTAATTTATGTGATAGATTGTAAGATTATGAAATTTTACCTTTTAATTATAAATATTGGAATTAGAATTCAAGGTTAAATGATATTAAAGTTGTAAAAGTTATGGAGACAAAGGCAATTTCAAGGTCTCTTCAAAATCCTTATCAGTTAATCCTTATCAATTAGGAAATGATTTAAAGCACTTTCTTCTTCTGTTTTTCTATCACAGTTAGTCCTTATCAATTAGGAAATGATTAAAAGTCTTCGCCTATTTTTCCTCCATTCTTTTAGATGAAATTGATTTATGAGTTATTTAAAAGAATTAAACGACTGATAACCATTCGAACAGATAGTAAATTGTTGATATGTCAACAAAACTGAGAAAAGATATGGTACAATTAACTTGTCTAACTATTTTGTCTCTAACTAACTTGACTTTTGACCTCCTTCTTTTACTTTTTCTTGTGTGTCACACTATAAGCAAATGTCACTCTCTAAAAAGTATCTTTTCCTCCTATTTGGAACATTTGAAGGAAGGATTTCAAATGACTTATTAAATGATATTCAAATTAAATCAGAAGTTATCAGAGCTTATTTGAATTGAGGCAACAATGATCTTTTTTGTTCCTATAAATTACTATCACTACTTCTTATAATAAATACATTACAATTTTGCAGGACTAATTCGAAGTAGTAATAATTATAATAAAATAATTAATAAATTGATCATATTTCTAATTTATTATATTTTTGTTTAAATTGTATTGCTACTTTTGTATTTTTAAGTTAAACAATGCATAAATAGTAGTTGTTCAAACTAGTGTAACTAATTAATAATTAACAGGATAATTAATAACTTGATTATATTTCTATTTAAATTGCATTGTTACTTTTATATTTTTAAATCAAACAATGAATAAATAGTAGTTGTTCAAACTAGTATAACTAATTGATAATTAACAGGATAATTAATAACTTAATTATATTTCTAATTTATTATATTTCTCTTTAAATTGTATTGCTACTTTTATATTTTTAAATTAAACAATGCATAAATAGTAGTTGTTCAGACTAGTGTAACCAAATAATTAACAGGATAATTAATAACTTGATTACATTTCTAATTTATTATACATTCTACTTAAATTGTGTTGTTACTTTTATATTTTTAAATTAAAGATTGCATAAATAGTAGTTGTTCTAAACTAGTTTAACTAATTAATAATCAGTAGGATAATTAATAACTCAATGATTTACTTCTACATTTATATTTCTAATTGAACAATATGCAAATAATTAATTAGTAAATCTTGTAAATGTTCAAATGCAAAAATCAACGAACTCTTCTTCGTCATTTCCTATCTCATTAAAATGTAACATTTTTTTTTTTTGTTTTTTTAGATGAAAAATTTCGAAATCGACAAAAAAAGATGTAAATTGTAAGATAAATCATAAATTTATAGCAAAAATTGGGAAATAAAAAATTCAAAAAAAAAGCAAATTTGGAAAAAACGTGAAAACATACTTAAAATAATCAAATTGAAGATCAAAAAAAAAAAAAAGTTGAAATGGATGGTGGTAGGTAATTTCGAAAAATTCATTTCATTTCAACTCTTTACCTCATTACATTTTCAAATTACCATCCTCTCTCACTTATTTTTCAACTTTTATTTCATTTTCATTCTTTGCCAAACAAAAACCGGAATTTTCTCCTATCATCTTTCAGTTACCCAAAAGTTGAAAAATATTATCAAACTATATAATAAAAGCAATTATTATGACGAAAACAAAACAATACTCTCTTATCTCTTATCATAATCATACTATTTCTTATCAGTATTATCATCACTGGTAATTGATCATTGACATTTTAATTTTATCTTTGTAATAAAATTAGCTAATTGATAAGTGTAAGGGAAACATTCATTAATTAGTATATGCATTCAAATAGAAATACAACTAGAAGGAAAGAAAGAGGATATTTTGGTAAAAATTTTTATGACATTATCGTTTTGTTTTCCTGATTCCGGTCGCACAACCAGATTATTACGCAAAACTAAATCCCGTAAAATGAAAAAAAAAGAGCTATTATAATTTGTTTGCTAATTAATGCTGTTAATGTGAATGAATTAATTGATATTACTTTTACATAAAATTGATAACAATAAATGCAATTTGCAAATGATATCAGCTTTTCCGGATGGTTTAAGATGACACTGATTAGACCACTGATTAGAGTAATAGTATTTGATGTTATTGATTTTACTGAAGTAAGGAAAATAACAAGTAGGTAAATAGTTTTCTTTTAATTTGTAGCTATCATTTTGTTTGTATCATTTACTATACTGCTATCATTACTTATCATAATTACCAGTCCTTTATCATTATTATCAGTTCGCTCAAAACTGTTTCCTGTTATTGCCAAAATGATTGTTCAAGAAAAATGTGTCTTTTGAATTTCCTAAGTGGTTTTTTGGAGCAAAATTTTCCAACCCGAAAGAGAAATATCCTAATCCATGTATCCTAAGCAATGCCCTAGTTCATGAACTAAGCTAGTCCATGATCTAAGCAATTTTCATACTTCCATTCACCCTGATCATTTTTCAATATCCTTTGGTATTGATTACATTCGGTGGCTTGTAATTGTCGCGAATTCCGATTCGCGAGACTCCAACCATACCCAAACTAAC